ACACACACACACACACACACACACACACGCTCATACACACAAATACTCACACTCATACACACAAATACTCACACTTATACTCACACACTCATACACACAAATACTCACACACTCACACACACACGCTCATACACACAAATACTCACACTTACACTCACACTTATACTCGCACTCATACACATAAATACTCACACTTATACTCACACACTCACCCATGCACACACACACACACGCTCATACACACAAATACTCACACTCATACACACAAATACTCACACTTATACTCATACACTCACACAAATACTCACACTCACACACACACACACACACTCACACACACACACACTCTCTCAGGTTTACTGTGATGTGTTTGGGAGCAGAGTGAAGCGTGTAGGTCAGTGAGGCGGCTCAGTGCAGTGCGACCCAGTGTTTTCACTCAGAGCTTGTGTGTGTTGTAGGCCTGCTGAGCGCTGGCTCTATGACGGAGTGATTCTGCAGTGCAAGGAGACGCCTGCGGTGAGACCCTGCAGCTCCGCAGCGCTCGCGCCGTTGATATAGAAACACTCGCAAGCACGCCACTGCTCTCTGTCCTGCTCCACAGGAGCCCAGATCTCAGGCTATCTTCCAAAGTCTAGATCCAAAAACACTGAGAGACCAATCCCATCATGCATTTCTGGTTCTATTAGCTGGTAGGGCTGGGTATCGATACAGATTTTATGATTTGGCTTGATTCAATATCAGTTCATTTGGAAATATTTTAGCTACATTTAAATTTTTCTTAATGAAAATCTCTTTCAGCTGATGCTGTAAACTCTACTGGGAAACCTGTCAGTACATCACTATAATATCAAATGGTTTTTATTAAAGGAGTACAAACTGTTAAATTCAATCACTATATATTTTAAAATTAAATAAACACTCAAATAAAAACAAACATTTGAGTTATATACAAACATTTAAATTATACATTAGGCAATAAATGTTGTTTCTTTTCCAATTCATTGTTTAAATCTAAAGCATTTAATGGTGGCTGTAATAACTTGTTTTGTTCACTCATGAACTGAACAGCACAGACTAAAAGACCGATCTTGTGATTTAATAATTAATATTGGTTTGTTAAAGTGAACATCATTATTTTAAACCCAGCCCTACTCACTAGGTTTTGGATGAGAGCCGTGATGCGTGAGACAGTCGTTCGATTGTTCCTGGTGTTGGACAGAGAGTGTGTGTGTGTGTGTGTGTGTTTTGGGGAGTGTGTGTGTGTGTGTGTGTTCTCTCATGTTCAGTCCTGTGGTGATTTCTCTTCTCTCTGCTCCCAGAATCCTTTTCACCAGCTTCCCAATCAAACAGCAAGCCAATCAGAGCTCTGAACTGACCTTTCACCTCTGTGTTTGTGTTGTCCTCTCGTGTGTGTGCAGTGCTGAAGAGAGCCCGTGTGGTGGGGTCGTCCTCTCTTGCACTGAAAAGCTGAACAGACGCACGGTTCTGCTGCGGCCGCTCAGCAAGCAGGAGCCTTACAGCCATTTCAGCTTCTTTCCACCTGTAAGAGCCGCTGCCTCTGTTTGCACACAAACGCTGCTTCTGCAGATCTCAGACTCCGGCTGCCAGCAACAACGAGCTTCATCCGCATTCATTAGAGCAGTTATGTTGCAGTTAGTTGCATCGCGCCGCGTAAACATAAAACCATGTCTGCATTTGTGATCGGAGAAATGACAAACAACAAGCGCTACTCTACACTGCTCAAAACTCACGTTTGAATCATCAGTGGCAAATTCTTTAAATATAAAAAACGTACTTACAGTCGTTCTTGTTTTGTACTTGTTTTGGAAGACCAAACAAAGTAGTTTCGCTTTCACAACGAAACACAGCACCTTCACGACATGGCGGCGGCAGCAACAATAAAGTTACGCCTTCTTTCTTTCAAATCTTCCCACATCGTGACGTAGACATGTGGGGCGTGTTTAAACGAGGCGTTTTAGGAGGGAGTGGACAAGTCTTAAAGTCCCCCTGTAGCGAAAATCAAGTTTATGTTGTTTATTTGTCTATATGGTGTTTTTAATATGCTTTTAGACAAACCATGTGCCAATCTATTAATCAACACCATTGCTGTGTATTTTCTCCTTAAAACTGTAGTATGGTTTGAAACAGCCCTTGGTTTGCTACGTCACAAATCAATAACCAATCACGTCAAGGGATCAATTCCTATCACTAGCATGCAAAATATACCAATACCAGCACAAAACCAAAAATAAATCAGAGCAAAAAACCCATGAAGCTGTGGTTTAATGTGAATTTAGAACTGCTAACTTGCATTATAACCCGTGGCAACAGTGTAAAAGTAGCCCGGAGTCAGACGTACCTCTCCCGCAACTGCGTCTGCACTTCACATGCGAATGCTCGCGGGCGCGAATTAACAATCACAAACGGCTGCATTCGAGTCTTCAAGGCATTTTAGGACACATCGTCAAGTAAGTAACTTTAACAAATGTTACAGTATTCACTGTAGTTGTCCGCTAGTAAAAACATAGTTTTATCAGTCATTATCCGTG